ACAGTAGGAAGAGCATAGGGCCTAAAATCGAACCCTGCGGGACTCCACATGCAATTGACAAAGAATCAGAAAGGTGTGTACATAATGTTCCATTATTTCAGTAAGGTATTTCTACTCTCTCAGATCATTTTTAAGGTACGAACATAACCAATTTAGAGCAACACCACGAATTCCAATCGAAAGTAATTTTGAGAATAAAATGTTATGATCAATGACCTCAAAAGCTTTTGAAAGATCTAGAAATATTCCAGTACGTGCTTCATTTTGATCCATGGGTGATGCGACATCTTTAAGAAAAGAAAATATGGCTGTTTGCGTAGATTTTGATTTTTAAAACCCATGTTGGCAATCTGAAAACCCGTGTTGTTTACTAAGAAAGGTTTTCATTCGTACTGTAATATTTTTGAAAAAAAACAACAAAAGAGAAATTTGCAGATAATTTTGAATATAATTTTTGTTGCCTTTTTTGAATAGCGCCAAATCTTAGCTGTTTTAAAAATATCTGGAAACTTTCATGTTCATAAGGATACACTAAATATGTAAGTTAGCGGGTGTATTATGGCACAAGTCAACAAACAATCCGGAAATTCACCTGAACAAGTCGAATATATATTTTTAGTCTACCGATTATTTTGAGAATCGTGTTTAAATTTTTTTTGGGAAACGTCTGATGCTGAATTTTGTGGCTGAAGACCCTGAGTGAGATCGGCAGTAATCTTCAAAAAGTATTGGTTAAAGAGACTAGCCACTGTTGTGGGATCGTTCACATTTATATCGTTATTCCTTAAAACAAAATTCTCTACATGGTTTCTAGTTGATTTGGCCGCTTTTTTACTATATTCCACCTTGCTTTTGTTTTATTATTTGAGTTCAAAATATCCTGATCATGTTTCATGACTATAGCATGCCTTATAACTTTTCTTAACAATGATTTGTATTTTTAAAGTAGAGGAGGAAATTTTGAGATATTTATGATTATTAAAAATGAAAGATTTCGTTTGTTTTTACATGATGTCCTAATCCAAGAATTGCTTTTGCATGAAAAATTTAATTTTCTTTTTTGAAGAGGAAAGCAAGTGTTAAAATGAAATGGAAACGTTGAAAAACAAGAATAATATTTATCGTTTGTATCGACAGCTTTGTGACGGCCCGTGACTCACGGAGCAAGTAATTGATGAATACTTTTATTTTACTTTTAGTAAATAATCTTCTCATACGTGTATTATGTATTGTCAGTGTTCGCATTTCTTATAATGGTAAGAATTTGTACATCGTGATCGCTGTATACTAAATTTTTTGTTTCAATTTCATATCGAGTAGTGGTTTTGTTAATTATTATTTGAACGATATCCTTGAATTTAGTGTGATACGTATACGTACATTTCTTGTAATATCTAAACTGAAGGAATGAATTCAGTTGAGAAACTACTTTTTCTCGTAAGATTAGACCAGAAAATCAATGTTAAAATCTCTGCATAGGACGATGGATTCAAATAGCGATTGTTGACTTTGTTTAGCATTTTCTCCAGTTTTTTTAAGAACATTATATAATCTACTGCTCTCTTTGTTGGAGGCCTGTAGATGATCATTCTAACGATGTGCAATAAATATTATGCAATTATAAAGACTTCTAAAATATACAAGAACATGCACTATAGATATTACATTTCTCACCGGAGAAACATTGTTCGATGGACATATTACAATATGCATACAGGGTGATTCATTCCTCGTTGCTATTACACCGGGACTTCATCGCATGTAATGTATAGAAAGAATTTGCCAAATTTGGATACTCTTCGTCATTTGGTTTAGTAAACAATTAACGGTTAACTTTGGAGTCTGCGCTTGTGCTCGTGTAATACAGGCTACGGCAAGTGAGTGACCGGCTTCATCTCGCGTTGGGGCTGGCGAATGCTCTGGAAAACTCAATTGTTATACTATACGAGAAGCCCCTGAAGCGAGCTCAAGGAAAATAAAGCGCGAGGTCAGCGGATTACAGTCCCTCGTCTGGCGAACAATTCATGCGGAGCATTACGACTCTTCCCTTGCACATTTGCATTTGCGCAGTAGAGACTTATTACGTGGTTCAATTCTCTGGACATTTCCTGTGCAAATGTAAGGAAAACCAGGAATTCCATTCTGTGGTGAGATGCGTGTTTCACAAGAACTAGCATAATTAATGAATAATTTGCTTGTGAGGGTCGAGGAAAATTCGCATGTTGCAACTTAGTGTAGCTCACCAAGAGCGATTATCTCTAAATGTATCGGTTGGCATTGTGGATGAATTTATTTTCACTTCTTGCGTTTACGAGGTGTTCAGTATTTGAATTTGGTAACTCAGTTACCCCCATCGCGTTTGCAGCAGGGGCCAACGAAAAAACGCACAATTCTGCAAAGTGTGCGCGTCACAGAGGCCGTGCGGCACAAATTCCTATCTTGCTTTCACGCAAGAGGAGCCATTTTGAACACGTGTAGAGCCCCTGTTACACGAGGTGAAAATGCGACATTTTGGCTGTATACGCAAATATTATAAACTGTCCAAAAACACTTAAATAAGTTTTTTCTCTCATTTCATATCTGTTAGATAAGTAGGCAATTTTTCAACATGGTCAAATATTTAAAGTAATATTTGGGTTACCGTTTTTGCAAAACATGATTAATGACAAAAACATTTTTTTCAAAATTTTGAATAGGGTTTAAACAAATTCCTTTTGTTTACATGAATAACTTAAGTGTACTCTATCACTGGGAGCAACGAGAGCTGAATATTTAAATGTAATTGAAAGAAAGTTCTTATTACATAACTATCCTACCCCTAGAAATGAGTTTCAATAAATTAACAATGTTCAATACAATTTTATTAAAAATTTTCTAATACTATCTGGCCATTACAATACAAGAGTAATACAAAATTATCGTTAAAGGAGAATTTGTTCTTTTTCTCTATCCTGTTTTTTAAATGTGAAAGCGAAATGGCGACTTTGAAAAGACCTAGGTACTGGAGCCTGTTCTAGCTCTTTCTTTATGTTCACGTGGAAAACCGAACGGGATGCACAGGCGAACGCAGCATAAATTAAGAGGGGAGCAACCAGATTTCTGGAACCCCATTTCCATTGACTTTTTTATTTACATGACATATTTACCTAGTAAATGAGTTGAGTATTCTTCAATGAGAATGAAATAATAAATTTAATAATACAATTAATAAATACGATTAAATATTAATGTATTATGTTAATATATTTCAACTGTTGCCACATGACTTGGAGAGTCTCTTCCCCAAATGTATAACAATTTCCTAAAATATCACTTTAAAGTAGGGCTAATCTTGTATTGAACATATTTTAGGAAATAAAATGTTTTTATGTCAGCTATGAGGCCAGGGACTTTCATACATGAGGCTATGAGGTCACGAGGAGCCAAGGCTCATTTGAAACCTTCTAGGGAGAACACAGTCGCCCCTGCCCTTCCGCCATGCTTACGCATATAGGTCACTGCCTTTTTGCTGGCAAAGAACTTAGAAAACGTTGATCAAGGGATGCAATCGAGATACGCCCTCACGGACCGTTTCTGAGGCGAAGTTCCAGTGTATTGCGAGCGTCTTGGAAGACCGTGCTGGTGCGCGTCTGATACCGGATACGATCCGAAGTTTATAAATTAGTATACTACAGTTTGCGTGAAAACTTGAAGTAGTATATTACGTGAATATGTTTGGTCCATGCGCAGTTTGATCAACGTCTGATCCTGGTCTGATCTGTTTGAAGTCCGATGTACTTGGATTTAAACAGACTCGGTTGACGTAAATCAGCTGATAGGGTGTCATCTAATCGGGAGCTTGGATGACACCTACAGTATAACGTTTAAGTTTCCGATTGGATGACACCGTGACAGTTTATTAAACGTCAACAGATTCTGTAAATAAATCGAAGTATAGCTGCGCGTCCGTTGAATTTAGGAAACCTAAAATGTTATTTTCGAAAAATTTCCAATGCGCACCTGGGGTAACATCGAGATTCCCGGTAGGGAATCAGTCTGCTAATAGTGGTAGTCGTAATGTATCTAATAAAATTCTTGAAGAATATAATAAATTTATGGAATGGTGGTTGTGTGCCCCATGGTGGAAATATTTCCACCATGACGTGTCCGAAAAAGAGCGGGAAATTGCACGATGTGGTTACATGAAACAAACTAATTTAAAACACAATAGATGAAGATTTGAACACCAACTTTGTTATGTGAGATTTAACTATACATGTTCATTCACAAATTCTAATAATCCTTGACCGCCCTTGACGTTTCTAACTTTTATTTGATCCACCTATATATAATGGGTGGCCATTAAATTAGGAATTTTCTTTAAATTTTACAATTGCATGTTCTATTCAGAACACCTAATGGAGCAGCATGGGGGCAAAAATCCGCATGGGGTCCGATTAGCGTAATTACGGTTTTTGAGGTGAGAATTTAGGACTTCTGCAACGTAAATTGGAAGTTGTCGTGACAGATATTCTACGAGGAGAGTTTGGTAGCTCCTGTGCAAATACTGCGGCGAGACTGAAGTGAGATATAATTTGAACTTGAACGTTGATGTAATTTTGTAAGATATTGTAAATTTGTTTATGCTGATAATAGCGCAGTAATTAAAATATAGAATTAAGAGTATGGATATGTGAAATATGACCTACCCAACACACTAGTAAATTGTTTCGCCTGACAGAAGTCAGCACAAATTAAAAGACATTAATTTGACGATTGGGGTAAGGGTCTGCATTCACGTCGGGGCAAGAATCCTGGTGCGGACTTCTGCCCTACCAATTATAGTGCATGTTGAAATTTATCCAGAAAGGGTCATCACCTAATTCTAAGTAGCGGAACTGTTTGGTAAATCGTACGTGAAGAATTGTACGATTGAAAAGGCCTCTAATGCTTTTTAAGTCTGTAGTATTGTGCCCAATGACAAATTCAAATTCGGGGAGAAAGTCTTTCTTCCTTCACAGGAACAGATCAGAGACCCAATTTCCCCGCTGCTCTTACAGATGAGCTGGCATTAAATGAAGATCCTAAAGAAGGTAGCCATGTGATCAAACCATAAACCACTCACCGGAGCCATCGTGATCTTTACTGACAGAGAAAGGTCACAACACCTCCTCAGGAACGCGATTCTCCAAATTGTGAATCTTCAGAGAATCGTGGTTAACATTACACGTCATCGGAGATTATGTCCATCCGAAAGACAGGAGTGAATAGAAAACGAACGTGGCGAAGACAGAAGTTCCTGTTAATAAATTAAATAAATAAATAAATAAATAAATAAATAAATAAATAAATAAATAAATAAATAAATAAATAAATAAACGCGCGGGAGGGCAATTTCTGTGTGATTTGTGTGAGAATTAATGTATACAGTAAATTTATTATGAGATTTAATTTTTTATCGGAGTATAATTTTAATTGAAGACTTTATTATGACCTTTTAGTATCTATGTGTGACATTTTATCATTTACTAATAAAGCTGATGTTATATTAATTTAATGCGTTTGAGCATTGTAAACATTGTTAATTTATTTCTAAGTAAGTTTAGATGTTTTGTATACTCGAACTTTTGCCGCTTTTGTTAGGGACTTTTATCCCGTAGCAGGGACAAAGTAGCTGATAAAGAGAATAGAGGAAGTGTGATATCAAGACAAAAAACTCGAAAGACTTTCTATTGAAGCTGTTTACACAATACCAAGGAGAAATCAAGCTAAATAACCAAACCGATGTGCTACAAAATACTAAGAGGCAAATTTGATCTAAAATAAGATTTGTACTGGAAGGGGAACGTAATTTTATAAAAGTAACTTTCTTTAAAAATAGATAAAGTGATAGGAGAGGAAATAAAGAAATTCATAATTTAATGGCCACCCATTGTACAGAGATGTCTCAGAATAAATGTTACAAACTCCTAGGGCATATGGGATGGTCGTTGAGAATCGCTTTTGCCAATTAACTAGTTGAAAATCTAATGAGGTTACACTTGCCGCTGATTGTACGCATACATTATGTAACATTCACAGCTAATTGTAGACATCGCTCTCTACTGGTGTGTGGTAGGTACATGAAATCTTGTAATATGTATCTGTTGTTACAACAGCTTCTGCTGACTACAGTCTACAACAGCTCATGCTATTGCTCACTTATGGTACTTCAAAGTATTTTTAAGATCCCAGATTGTGCCCAAAGATTAGAAGCTCCCAAAGAAAGCCCCTAAAATTGCATTCTTAATATTTCAAATCTAAAAATTTAGAGGAAACTGTTAAGTTTAAATGCTGAAAAGACATCCTCCAGCTCCGCAAAAGTCATGTACCAATATCACTCATTTTTGACATTATATAAATAAATAAAATACTGTAACGGTACGAGCTGATACGATGTAGAATTTCCATGAACAAAATTTGCAGCGATGCCATCACTAGAGAAGAGGGAGGTACCTGACCCGCGTCTCTTCGGCTATTGAAGCGAGGGGTATTTATGACGTTTTATGGCAGGACAACCCGCGCAGTTTGGGGAGAAGGGAGCCCTTTGTCGGCCACTGGGTCCCGCCAAATCCTCGAGAGGGTGCTTTCCCCACACGCGACCGCTCGTCAAAGAGACAGATTTACATCCCCAACGAACCGCGGCGCACGTGCGGGTCCGAAGTAGGTCATGCCGATATTTTCGCCGGCCACGACAAAAAAACATAGCAATAAACATTTTAGCTTTTAAAAGGGATCCCACGCCATTAGTCGAAGCCCCGCCCCATCGTGCTCCTCGAAATTCAATCGCACGTATCGGGAGAATTTTCACTGGAGGAGAGGGGGGTACCGAGACTTCATGATTCGGGAAAGCAGCTCTGAAAAACACTTATTCGAGCATTCTTGCGGAGGGAAGTCGAGCTCTCACGCTGACTTACTCGAATATTCTTGCGAAAGGAGACACAATTCCCGGCATGGGAAGTGTTCTCGCTGGTCGTGAACGCCACTGAGCAAGTGTCAGTGCACAGGAGCATGCGATCACGTGCCATAGTTCGATTTGTCCCACCTACGATTGTCGTCCGCGATTGCCCGATACGGAAGATTGGCAGAAGACTGGACAGAAGACCGGCGATACGGATGACTTCCGATCCGTCATCGCCGATGCAGGCCTTAGCTGCTTGGAAGTTGGCTACGTCATCCACAGGTCCGGCCGGAGAGGGCGGCAACGCTAAACGGCCACGCTGAGGTGCAGCCGTGGTTCTCCGCAACTGTCTGGGGGCGGTCAACCCGTGGCGCCGGTTAACGACCCCACCACTGTGCGTGCTGTGATGTCCGCCGACAACAACAAAAGGGTAATCATTCGTGGGTGGCAAACTTGGGAAACCCGTAGGCGGCGGAAACAGCGAGATGACGCAGTTCCGTCAGCCGGCCCAGAAGGTATATAAACGGACCCCAGACCTAACTCCAGACCTCTTTCTTCTGATTCTTGGGCGCGTCGATAGGAAGTCGTGTGGGTTGTGCGCGGCGCTGCATTTCAATGCATAGGCTACTGAGGCAGGGAACTGAAGCCAGCGTGCTACGTCGAGACGGGAGGTGCGGCATACTCGCGTGTATGCTCACGTAGGCTACTGGTGCATCACATCGAATAAGATATTTACTTATCGGGTCAGCGATGGTGGTAACCAGGGAACATTTCTTCTAGTAACGGGTCAATATTGTTATTTGTAAATATTGTACGTAGTATTCAGGTGTTGGAGCATTTTTATTAAAATAAATACTTAATGTTTACAAACCGTTCACGTCTGTAATTTATTGCCCCGGCAAAGACGCCACACTCTCTAGGCTTGAGGGACTCATATGCTTTTCTCACACGCAATATGGATTCCGGAGAGGCCGCGCGACGACGGATGCCATCCTGGAAGTAATCGATAAAGCAGACGCAGTCAGAAGAGGAGTCGGCAAGAACAAGGGATTCTGCGCGCTCGTGGCAATTGACATTAGAAACGCCTTCAACTCCGCTAGGTGGAAGGACATTATAGAAGTGTTAGTTAACAAGATGATTCCGGAATATCTCATAAGGCTTATTGAAGATTACCTCCATGAAAGGACGATAACTTATGTGGACAGTATCAGGTTAGAAGAGAATGTGACGTGTGAGGTTCCTCAAGGATCCAGACTCGGGCCATTTTTATGGAATGTCCTCTATGATGACTTTCTAAGCATTGACCTGCCAAAAGATACGCAGCTCATAGGCTATGCTGACGATACGCTAATAATAAGCCACAGCGTTGACATTGAACTCTTCGAATTGAGAGTGAACGAAGCTCTCTTTAAGGTTAAAAGATGGTTAGATAGACGACAGCTACCGATGGCAGTGCAAACAGCTCTCTTAATCACCGACCGGAGGGCCTTTCACTACCCAGACCTCCTATCGACTTAACAGCCATGGAAATAAAGAAGACGTACGTCGCCTTGAAGGAAGCACAAGCAGTCACCTCCCTCCCAATCAAATTGAGAGTGTTAAAGCAGAAGAAAGGAAGTTGCTCCTTGAAGAATGGCAAGGAAGATGGGATGGGGATGTGAAAGGCAGGTGGACTCATCGGTTGATTACAAACATCGAGAGATGGGTTAGAAGTTTTGGGGAGGTAGATTATTACCTGTCCCAGGCTCTTACGGGACATGGGGGATTTAATAAATACCTCTACGACTTCAGGATCGTAGAGAGGCCCACATGTAGTCTCTGTCACGCAGGTATAGATGATGCGGAACACACATTATTCTAGTGCAAGGCATGGGACGCGGAACGAGAGGTTTGTAATTAAGAATTAAGACTGTGGAAGTAGAGCATCTACTACCAGCCAATCTCCTGCGTGAAGTAGTGTCTAACGACGGTTTCCGCCTGGGAGAGAATACGGTTTAAGCGGCGGAGGTTAGGTTTTTAGTCGGTTACCTAGTTGGGAGTCCGACATCACCAGCTTCACTGGTATCCATAAAGGATTTTTCCTCCTCCTTAAATAATAAAAATCGAAATAATAATAATAATAGTAATAATTCCGTGAGAGTAGCTGGTCTCCTATCGGACGCGTCCCCAGGTGGCGGATCGGGGAATGCTCTTACCGGCCACGCCGGAGGGTAGGTGGGAAATAAAATACCACCCGTGGGCCAAATCAAGACGCTGGCGGCAGCGTTAAAACGCTAGGGGAAGGTGACCACGAAAATAAACCCACGATGGAAGGTCCCACAGGATCAACCGTTACGGGGCAGGGGATCGGAGCCCCAGTACCGGCAGCCGGGGGTGGGCAAGTAGGCCCCCGGCGGTCGTCAACCAGCGAATTTCAGAGACGTGGACCGCTTGGCATCTCTGAAATTCTGCGACAAGCGAAAGCCTAGAGCGTGCAGGTTTTGACCCTTTTTCTGGGAGTTCGAAGCTGCGGAGATCGCCTCCAAGTACCCCAACCACTCCAGGGATAAGCTCGACTGTGGAACGAGATGGCCCGGCAAATCCGCCGCGAACCGCAGTCAATTCGCCGCAAAGTGGACCAGGAAGTTGGCGGGGACCCATGAAGGGAAATAAGTCGGATAATCTTGTAGCAGGAAATAGAGAAACAGCAGCTGACCTCATAATAGAAAAATGGGGAACCATGCAACAACTGGTAGAATCCCAAGGAAAGCTCCTAGATGAACTGAATCAAAGCCTGAGGGTAATAGAGAAGCATATGCTAAAAAGCAACCCGATGAGTGTGAAGGAAGCCCTGTCTAGAGCTATAGAAAATATTGATACCCTGAAGTATAGGGTAAATAGGTAGCAGATGAAAAGAGACAATTTTCAGGGATCCTGAACTCTCTATTGAGTATAGAGAAGGAAACTAATGTAAGGGACGGTAAGAAAGACGTACGAAGTAAAAAGAGGCACCTAGTCCACCAGAAGAACTTAATAGAAGAGATAAGAAAGATATACAGAAGGAGATAACTACGGTGGTTACACCAGGGGAAAAGCAAGGAAATCAGGGCAAGGTGCTAAAACAGTATGAAAAAACAGAAGACCAGACAGGGGAGAATTGGCAGCTTCAACAAAGCAGGAAAGATAAAAGAATACAAAAGAAGCCAGGAGCTAAGTCAACAGTCAGGAAAGTAAACTCAGCTATCAAAATGGGAGCTAAACAAGGGGAAACCTATGCTGACATAAAGAAGATGAAAGAGACCGTGAACCCTAGTGATCACGGCACAAAAATATTGGCTATACGCAGGACAAAAAAGGAAGAGCTACTTATTGTTCTTGAAAAAAACTGGAAATATTACTTCATTGAATGAGGCTTTGAATTGAATTTGCCTTATTTTATGCGGCGAGACTCCGGCCATCAATCCCGCTCTTCCGTCTGACCACGCAAATTTCGCTATGCTCCTTTCACCAACTAACGAAGAAAGGATGTATTTCTTGGGCGAGGAACAGGCGAGTTGAATTTAGCTCAGAGGCGTCATTTAGGCTTGAGAATCTTTTTCATGCAAGTAAATCTACTAACATGCGACAGCCGGCTTTACTTCCCCTCCGAAGGATGGCGTACGAAGGATTTTCTCCCCCTTAAAAATCCACGGCTTCGATCGGATTTGAACCCGCGAACTTGGCTGCAATAATCCGGTACGCTAACCGTTACACCATCGCTGCCGGTTTGGAGCCGACGCTTTGGAGAAAGCTGTAGGGAAGCAAGCTCATTTGGGTGCTCTAGAACGAAAGCGCCTAATAGAAATTAGAGATATTGATGAAACAGTCACTGCTGAGGAGGTGTTGGAGGCGGTGAGCAAAAGTATAAACGTAGCAACAGACCAGATGCCTACCCCTGTAGGATGTGCAGAGAATACGGAGGAATACAATCGGCCACAATGTTGATTGGAGAAGAGATAGCTCAAAAGCTGATAATGGCAGGACGTATTAAGATGGGTTAACTGCAGAATCATGGGAAAACTCCAGATAACAAGATGTTATAGATGTCTAGACTTTGGAGTAATTTCAACGGACTGCAGAGGTCCTGAATGTAGCAAAGTATGTTACAGATGTGATAGAACCGGACATTTTGTTAAGAACTGTACCAACAAAGAACAGTATGTCTTATGTAAAGACAAAATCAAAGAGGATCAACCTCTGTTAGGAAGTAACAAATGTGCCTCCTTTTTAGCGGCGGTTCAAAAGAAAAAAATATCAAGTAGGCTTCGACTCCTACAGATTAACCTGGGGAGAAGTAAGCAGGCGCGGGACGTGATGCTGCAGAGAGGGAAGTGGATGTGTTACTTACTAGTGAGCAACCTTACTGTGAGAATACGTTGTATCGAGATACCACTGCTTCCAGAAGAATCCATAATAGGAAGCTAAGTATTAATAAATATAAGAAGACAAAGTATGGGTTTGTATAGGTTGAGGTGAATAATATGAGAATGTATAACTTACTTTTCTCCGAACGATACATTAGAGAAATTTCAAAAAGACATCGACGAATTGGAGGCAAGTCTGAAAACAACGAAAGGAGAGATTTGGTAGCAGGTGATTTCAATGGTAAATCGTCGGAATGGGCGCGCTCTGACAGCAGAGGAGCTATTATATCTGAGTTGGTAGCAAGAAACAATCTTATCATCCTAAACTCTGGGAACGAGAACACTTTCCAACGGGGAGATACTTCATCTACACTGGATTT